GAAGAGGTGACGTGGGGCAGCCCGGGAGGCACCCTGGGAGCCGTCTTTGCTTTTGTTCCTTTGTTTTTCCGCAGGAGGCCAGAAAGGGCCCAGAGGGATGCAGAGCCCATGGCCTTAGGGCTGCAGCGGGCACCCAGCGGCTCTTTTGGGGACCCCAAAGCCTGCTGGAGGAGGGTCTTGTTTCCCCCTCTCCCGCGTCCTTCCCAGCCCGCCTTGCCCCGGCTGCTGGGGCTGCCCTTCATAACCCTGTTAGGTTAACTCCCTCTCTGCACCGGGGTAGATACACTTTCAGACACGTCCCACTTTCAAAATCTGAGGAAAACAGGCATTTTCTGATTAATTTTTTACACTTTTTGCCCCTTCTTTTCCCACCCTTTTTACCAGCCAATGTGGATCTGGAAAGTTGGGAGGAAAATGTAGGACAGGGGAGAAAAAGCCGAGTGGGGTTTCTTTTCTATATGTTACTTTTACTCTTTTGCAGTAGGGGCACCTCATGAGCTGAACTGTGGTATGGAATCACCAGCTGATATCCCAGGTTTAAAATAAAATTCAATTTTCCTGTTAGCAAATACAGCTGTAAAAATAGACCTTTTATCAGCCCGCTGCTTCGCATCTTTGGACGTGAACAGCTTGGAAATATTTTGGTCTGAAATTAGAACAATCTCATATGGATGCGTTTGTTCATCTCAAAAATGGCAACTTTACAAATGTGGGTGCTATGGGTGGAGAAAGGGTTTGTGAGGAGCAACTTGACATGGGCTTGGCAGTTTGTGTGCCTGTGGTCAGGGTTTCCTTTAATCTGCTTTACCCTCAGAAGCAGCCTGATTTAGCCCCCTTAGCAAGAGTTTGCAGGGGAGAAATAGGAATAGGGATTGATAGATATTCAAATAGTTTGAAATTTAGGCTGGCTGTTAAGTGCCAGATTTATGTGCATCAGGAGGGGGTGATTCTGGTGGTTTTGAACAGCAGAATCAAGCTGTATCTGTCTTCTTACCTGGAATTGCAGTGTATAATACTCTGTTTTGGGTTTTTCCTTCAGGGACCTAACACAATCGTGATCTGCATGGTCATCTTACTGAACATTGGTCTGGCCATCCTATTTGTACATTTTTTGACATGATGTGCCCCTCGGACAAGGTAAGACAAGCAATGAGATTTTATCCTCAATTTCTAGACTTCACTGTGGACGGTTTGGGGTCAACTAGCTTTATTGCCAATGCAAATCATTCACTGCTGTTCACTGCTGGATGTCCTGGTGATGGAAATGCATGGGCATTTATTCAGTAGATGCAATTGCCTTGCATTGAGCGCTGAGATTCTCAGTAACCCCTTGTCTGTTCAAAGAGCGATTTGTGGATTAATTTCAGTGGATAGTTCTCTATTTTCATAAAATCGTTTCCTCAAAGTTAAAAAATCGGATGCAATCCCACAGTATAGTTTTGCCTTCCCAGTTGGATGGACATGATTCATGGAGACTTCCAGTGCAAGAATGTGTGATGTTAACTTTGAAATTCATTTTCTGCAAATAAGCTGCAAGAAACACTTTCAATTTGGTGTTCTATGGCCACTGCTGCCAGTAACTTGTGTGTTGCAATGTTTCTTGGCACTCAGCCCAGCAAGACGCAGGAACACAAAGCAAATGTCAAACTCTGAAATTTGCAGTTCTGATTTCACCAGTGCTAGTTCCACTGCTGCTGTTTTGTAGTTGTGTTACCAAAGGTAAATATGAGCTATTTATCTGACTGGAGCTCGCTTAGGTTAAAGTTAAACTGGAGCTCCATCAGGTCTTCCACTTGAACCAGGATGAGGGTTTGCATTTGGATTTGGTGGTGACAATAAAATCTTGTGAGGTTGCTTGTGCCTGGGAGGTTTCTGATCATGGGTTTGCACAAGATTCTGTTGTCTTGGGCTCAAAGATTGGAAAAAAACCATCAAGGCTGAACCTGATCCTTGGGCCTCACGTGAACATAATGACTCCTCCCAAGCCCCCATGAGGGTATCAAGCTGCCTTCCCAGGGCCTCCTGGGGGTTAAAACTGCTCTGCTGGGCGCTGCTTTCTGTCATGTTTTTAGTCCCCACTCGGCCTGCACAGATGAAAGCCTTGCAGACAGCCACAACTAGGTGTTGCTTGTGTGTTTTGCTCCCCCTTGACTCTCCATTCATCTCTGTCTGGGACAGGTGTTGCTGCTGATGGAGACCACAGACCTTGGCGGGGATTAAAACTCAGCCACCTGGAAACACCGAAGAGGAGGGCTTGAGATCCCAAGGTTGCACTGCAAACATGAACCTCAAACAAAAGCACCTGAAGACCAGTTCAGTCTCCCTGGTCCCAGGCTGTGGCTGGCCTCTGCAATCTACCAAGGAAAAGCCAGGGTTTCTGCAATTCAGCCTCCTTCTCTTCTTTGTATAAAATAGCAGTTGCCTTAAATTGTTCTCACCAAAGCCATCAACTGTCCTGTCATGCCAGGGATGAGGGATTTATCTGTAGTTGTAGGAAAATGAGTGAGGTGGTCTCCTCCATGCACACTGATGTGTTTTGTAACTCCCTTGGTTGACTCATTGCCAGAGATTTCCCAAGAATATAATCCATGGTGTGGAGATGAAACGATACACAGCAACCAAAATGACTCATGAGAGCCGCACCATGGCTGGGGGTGGACAACATTGCCCTCCGTGCTCAGAAGTCATCCAAAGGGATGAAAAAAAAGTCTTTCCTTTCCCCATCACCTGGAGTCGTTTTCTGCGTATGGAGGACCGAGAGGGGGAGCAAGTTGAAATTGGGCTTGTTGAAGTGTAACCAGAGTCCTGCCCATGCCTGCCGACACACCACGGACAGGGGCCGCGGGGTGGGGTGCAAGGGACTGGCTGATCTGAGGATGTTCATGCGTGCAGGGGGTGCTGCGGATGGAGATGGTGCCCATTTCGGGATCAGGTGCCGTCCAAGTGCTCTCCTGCCACCAGCAATGCTCTGTGCAGAAGTGTCTTGCAGTGGGTGCCTTCCTGCTGTAACAGGAAAGGAAATAGATGTGCTGAATTTGTCCCTTTACCCCTTTTTTTTTTCTGTGAAAATGGTGCGAGTTACAATGAAAAGGAGGTACGTACTGAAAAATGCCTCCATACGCCTGCAGGTTCCTCCCCTTCACACGCCAGGCTGCAGGGGGTTCCTGTGCTTTTTCCTTGCAACAGAGTGAACACTTTCCAGCCAGAGGATACAGGGTGGCTGTCGTGGGAGAGGTTATGTTATTCCCGAAAGGAAAAACGTGCAGAGGCTTGAGTGACTCCGGTGTATTTGGGTGTTAGGCTCAAAAATACACAGCAGCCAGACTTCCAGCAGTGGTAGTGTACAGAGGGGCAATTCTAGCTGTTGTTCTTGTGTGCGAGGCTTAGAGGCCTGGGCGATTTGCACCGAATATTCCCAAAGCTGCGACAGAGAATGACCTTTGGAAGGAGATGTTTCTACTGTGATGTGCTGTGACCCTCAGCAGTGCGAGCTTAGAAAGTCGGCACAGATGAAGTTACAGTTTAGTGTGAGGCTGAGTGCTTGGACATGTTTCTTCCTTAAGAGCAATATGCATTTTCTATCCCTTTTTAAGATATTCAGAAATGTTACTTCTAGTCGGTTGTGCACCTCTGTGTATCCTGAAATCCCACTGCACAGGACTGGGTGGGAAAACCTGAGGGACTGGAAAGAATGGGGAAATGATAGTTAAGGAAAAAAACAGATGCCCAGTCTGCTCCAAAGGTCAGTCTGAAAGGATTTCAGAGATGGGGTGGCAGACAGGCAGGGATTTACACTGACTGGAGACCCAGGGCAAAACCTGCCTAATTCGTCTGCTCTTAATTATGGCATAACAGTGAGAATAATTCAGTACTTTTCTTTGTGAACCAAGTTTATTTTTTAACCTTATTCAGCTCAGGAATGTTGCCACAGTAGCAAATACGTGGTGTTAACTGTGGGAGAAGTGAATGTGATCCCTTCCTAAAAGCCATGTGGCTGTACCAGTCCTGAGAAAGCTGTGCAGCATCAGCTACACTTCCACAGAGCATAGTTTAGTAGCAATTTGCTTCTTTCTTTTTTTTCTTCAGTATAAATGTATTGCAAACCCCAGGCTCTGCTGCCTTTGACGTTTTATCTCCATTTGCTGGCATTCACTTGCCAGCTCTGCAGTTTCAGTATGCCAACTGCTTTTATTAACCACCGAGACAATTTCCGTTGAGAGACCTGAGGGGCTTTTATTTATCACTAAGCACAAAAATGGATCTTTTTCAACAGGTAATTTCCCCTGCCGCCCCAATTTTTTATGCATGTGATGTGCACTCGGTAATGTGCTTTCTTCCTAGTATCCTTCTGAGAAAAATAGGTAGATTTGCTTTTATGTGACGTATAGATATATCCATATTGCGCTGAGATATGGATATATATACATATATATATATAGCCCCTTAGGGATTTCATTTTCTTAGATGCAAAATAACAGATTTACCTCAAACTGCATGCTTTCAAAACTGACTAGGATATCGTGTTGTACTTTTCAGGTCTTACAAAGATGCAGATACATTTCACTCTTCACACAAAAATACCTTCATCACAGATTTTGCAAGCTGTTTACTACAATCTGTGTACTACTGTCCAGAGTTTTCTGTCGGTTGTTCTGCTGGATTATGTGCAATAATAAACAGTTATCTGCTCACTGTATCCATGTGGATCTTTGCAGAGGAATCTCCAGGTTTCTTTCCAGGTTGACACACTCATTCCAACTCTTCCAGGAGAGCTCATCAATACTTGGTGCAGAATTTGCATCATGGCATCTGAATGGTTTTTAGTTTTTCCCCAATATCTGTTTCTAAATCTGCGGTTTTGTTGGTGGGAGGGTTCTTTGCAAAGAGAATTGTTTTCATTTACTGCTTCTTGAAAGTGTGGTGCCAGATGTTTGAGGACACCTCTGGCTCTCTGAGCAAGCTCTGTGTGCTACCATCGTGCTGTCTTCCGCCAGAGGTTGCGTGGGGCCGGGAGGAAGGGCGGCTCGCTGGCCTGAAGCCTGGCCGGGCGATGCAGACGGCCGCTGACAGGTCCCTTCGCTGCTTCCCGACCTCAGGGCTGCTGCCAAGTTTCTTCCAAGTTGTGCGTCACTGCCTGCTCCTCCGGCGCCCCAGTCCTCCTGGGTTTGGAGAAGAGTGGTTCTCTTCCACCCGTGGCTGTCCTTTCCCTCAGCCTCTTGAAACGGCTGAAGTGAGAGGAGAGCCGGGCGCAAGGGACAAGGAAATGGCAGCTGGGGGAAGAGTGATTTACAGGGGAGGATGGGAGAGCAGAGCCCAGCACCAGCCAGGGGCAGCGGGGCCCGGGGGCCCAAAGAATCCAGAGTAGCCGAAAACTTCAATCCCTTTTCTATTTCTGGAGTGCCTCGCATGGGCAAAGCCGGGCTGTGCAGAGGGGGCTGGCGGGATGCAGGCTCAGCCTCCACGGGCAGCAGGGGCTCCCCTGGCTTCTGCAGAACACAGGGGGTCTCATGGCCAGAGATGAGTTTGGTGAAATGATGGCTTTGCTCTCCTCTGTGCTTGTTTTGCTTCTGGCATGGGAGGAACCAGCAGCTTCTCATTCATCCAGTCTCTGGAAGGAGGCTGGGGGCAGCAGGGTAACTGGAGCCCTTTGCACCTCATAAATCTCAGGCTGATGAATGGAGCAGTTCTCTGGCCCATGTCTGGCAGAGGCAGCAGGGAGGGAGGTGGGTCTGCTGCTAAAGCAATGACGTATTGCTTCAAAAATATTCATAAAGGCAAAATGAAAAGCCTGCCCCTTCCCCAGGGTAGGTGGAACAGTGCTGGGTCTCTGCCTCGGGAGCTGCTGGTTTCAGGGGTAACGTCCCCCATGCTGCTCCTGGCTAAGCGTCCCCGGGCACAGGCAGGGAGGTGTCTGATACCTGAGAAGTGGGAGAAAGGCACTGGCCTGATCCTGTGACCCAAGGGCAGCAGCCTTAGCCTCTGCCGGTGGGAGGGAAGGTGCAATCTGAGCCCCGGTGTCCTTTGAGAGTGACCTGCCCAGGCGCCCCAGGGCTGGCCACGCTGACCTCCACTGTCCTTGCGGGACATTGAGCCTCGCAGGAGAAACCCCATCTTTTGGCCTTCATCTTCTTGCAAGAGGACCGGCCAGAGCTGGGGCGAAGGTGGCCCTGGCAGCGAGTAGGTGCTGGAAGCACAGAGGGGTTACTGTGCCCCTTTCTGGCTCCGCACCATCACCTTCACTCCAGGACCCTTCCTGGCGGAAGCTGAAGAGAGGCCTGAGGAACATTGATGCATCAGGGAATAGCCACTGTTAGCAACTCCAGTGAAACATTTTCCCATGCCTGGCCACGGCTTAGCCCCCAGCCCTGGCTCTGGAAGTGCTGGCTTTCCCCTCGCGCCTAGCCAAGCCATGGGTGCACCACGCCTGGCTTGGGACCAGCAGCAAGGGGCCCCATGGTAGCCACCCGCTCCTGTCCTCTTCTGCCAGAAACGCTGGCACTGCGTGGCTGGAAAAAGTTGCTTTTATTTTATTTCCTCTGAGCAGCCACCCACACTGCGCTGTGAGGACAAACAGGATCAGCCAGCATGGGAGGACAACACGCCCTTGCTGACCATCTCACATAAGCACCGGGACTACCACAGGACCTTCTTCTGGAGAGGGGAAAGCTTTTAGAGGCTCCCCAGCTCATGGCTTCAGGCATTCTTTTTGGAGGAGCAGTGAGCAGCTGCCAGTGCAGTCGCAGCATTCCCTGTCTCTATAGAAACAGCACACTTGGAGCACAATTCACGAGGCGGTTATTAAAGAAAATTCAGCAATTATAAAACACAGATTGTCCTTAATACTTCTGCCCATCACCCACAGCACAGGGGACATGTGGCATCGCAGTCATGTTCCCTCCCTTGGGCGATAGCTGGGAAAGTGCCCCTGAGTTGGGGCACAGGCGATGCCAGCAATGCCCCCCCATCGGAGTCTGCATTTAAACCCCAGCAGGGCAGAAAGGGGCATGGCTGGTTAACTGCTAAACTGAGGGTATTTTGGTAAATTAGAGTCACTGTGGCAGAACTGGGCAGCTTCGGTCTATTGTGCCCTCCCCAAAATGGATGTCCGTATTTGAAGAGTGCTGAGGAGCAACCTCTGAGCAAGCAGAGTGGAGGCAGGTCCTGGCGGCCCTCCGGGGGCCTTAGGAAATATGGATTGCAAAATAAACAAATAATTGCTGAGTGATGACATTAATATTGCTGTAGGAGTATCCCCTAGGCTTTGTTAGCAGCTCCTTAATTGGGCCCTCCCTGAACTAATTAGTTCAAAGAAGCAACCAGGGGCCAGGCCAGATTGAAAAGGGGCTGTATTTTATTCATTCCCTAATGGGTGGTCCACCCTCTCTTGTGGCTCTGAAAAATTTAAGCAATTACTCAGCATCCTCTTCAGTGACCTGAATATTACTAATGTAAAGGTATCGCTATTTTAATTTCAATAATGTGTTCTTTGCAGGCTTGTACCACAGAGTGAAAATCAAGCTCTAATGACCTGTTCTGGTTGTGGGCAGGTGCTGGGTGCCCTCGTGGTCTTTTCCTCCCCTTTTTTAGGGAACTGCTGGCGTTTTGTGTGTTACTCTGAGACATGGCCCTGGGACCCGCTGGGTCCTGGGGCATGGGCCAGGACAACAGGGGACAGGCTCTTCCAAAGAGCCATCAGCACAGCCCTGCTCTCCTCTGGCACAGAGGGCTGATTCCTCCCCTGAAAGCACCTTTTCCACCACCCAAATCCAGAGACAAGGTAAGAGGACAACCTGACTAGTGCTTAAACTGATGGTTTGGGTAAGTTATTCAACTTCTGTGTTTTGCAGGAGTAAACTGCTGTTGCTGAGGATCCACCCGTGCACTCCTCAGAGGTGGTTACCCTGTGGCCTCTGTCACCAACACTGTGCTGAGACCAGCCAGACTCAGGTAAACGTGCTGGACATGGTGTCTCCTACACTGGAAGTCTCTGATGAATGCTGTGTACTTCAGCCAACCCATGGTTCTTCCAGCCCATAAACCTCACTCACCCCTCTCCCACTCACCCCGCTCTCTGCACTCTTACAAATTCATCCTCCTCCCTGAGGCTCTGTGGCAGGGCCAGTCACCCCCTCTCCTGCCAGGGGACTTGTTTGCTGTGTAATCGAAGAAAGCAGATGGCATTTTACCAGGTCAACAAGCACTGGAAAGGATTTAATTAAGAAACTAACAGGTTAGATCAGATTGAGGAGCAGCTTCAATGTGGTAAATTATTTAGGAGTAATAGATCCTCTATTTGGTGGCATGTTTATAAACTCACAGCCTACGCTCATGCTGTTGAGACTAAATAAATGCTGAGGGTAAAATACAGCTTCAAACTCTATGAGCAGGCTGGGATGTTGCAGGTACAAGGTAATCCAGGCTCAAGCTTGAAGGAGGCTTTTTGATTTCTTGTAAGGAATTCAGGTTTTTATTCAGACCCTGGATATCCAGAGGAAGTTACAGTGACAAGTTACTTCTTTTAATTCCTTTCTGCTGGTGATTTATTTCCTGACAGCATGCAGCTGCCTGTCCTCTCAACCAGCATCTCCTTAGCAAGCTGAGTGCTGACCTTCTGCCTCCACTTCCACCTGAACCTCTCTCAAACCCTCCTAATGTGTCAGAGTACGTGCCAGGAGAAGGAGCAGGAACTCATTCCTCATCTACAGGGTTTAATGCTCTGGTGCATTTGCTGGAGATCTCGTGGTGCTGGGGGGATTTATCTGCCAATTATTTCTCAAGAAATAACAAAGGGTCACGCAGTACTTGGCAGATAAGGGCAGAAAGGGGAGAAGAGAACTGGGTTTTAATTAAATCCCAAGTATGCTGAACAAAAAATTTCAGAATCAGCAATTAGCTGTTGGCTTGGGACTGAAATTTAATTAAGAGAATAGTGCTTTTAGGATGTCTCTGTCTGGGGGAAATAGCATAAAGGGGAACAGTGAAGACGGGAAATGTGATGGGGAGGCGGAAAAGATCCTGCTGGAGATGCTTCAGAGCTGAGCTGCTACTTGGGTTTACAGAGATCAAGACTGTCAAACTGCACATCCCATGCCTCAGAAATGCCTTAGATCAGGATGCAGGTGGGTTTCCAGGCTCGGACAGTAAGTCCTCTTCCCATGTGGCCTCAGAGCAAAGCTGGCTTTCCTGCTGCTCTCTGCACTGGCAGCCACAGGAGGAAGGGATGGGGATGGGGGACAGCCTGTCCCTGAGGAGATGCTGCCTGTGTTTGATGCCCTGGGGAGGCACCATCCTTCATAGCCCCCCAGCCCCACAGCACCAAGGGCAGCTGGGCTCTGCTTTGCTGCTGTGATCTGGTTACTGTACCCAAGCAAACAGCATGGAGGTGCAGCATCACAG